AGCGACTGGCGCTCCTGGTGACTCACTTTGCACAGAAAAGCAGAGGCAGCAGAGAGACTTCTTTGAACTCCAGGACAGAGCTGGTGGAGCAGAGCCAAGCCTCCCTTCCTCCTCCGCTTGCCATCGGCCATTTCTTTGCATAAAGCTAGGAAAAGCACCCTAGAGACTGCCCTTCTCTTTCAGCATTACTCTCAAACCAGGACAGAAGCGTGCACTGGAACCTGAGGCTGCCACTGCTGCCCTGGAGCAAGAGGAATCTCTGCCCAGAATGCAGGGAATGGGTTTAAATCAATTCAGGGATAGTATTTAGCTCACAAGATAACATTTTTCAAGCAGGAATTTCAAAGTACACTGAAGTTTAACCAAACATACAGCCTCAATATAAAAACTGCAGGAAGAAGCAGAAGAAAAGGGCATAACACAAATTTTTTTTTTTTTTTTTACAGCAGAGAGAGAGCTGCCAATAAAATAGAAAAAAAACAGGAGGCACTTAAGGCTTTTTTAATCAAGGAGCAGAGAACAAGCCCCGAGCTCTGTGCTTGAGAGAGAACATGTCTGGCTGAAGGTGGACACGTCACACTTGGCCTTCTCAGCCCTAGCTCCTCCTGGGCCATCCCCAAATCCTTCTCCCTGCTCACTTCCACCACTTGGTCCATCCAGATCCACTCTGGAGCCCCCACACCAGGCACCCTGTCAGCCAGGACACCTGGCTGGGTGCTGCCTGATGCCACTTCACAGCCTCACTGTGCACAGGGGGTATAAGGCCAGAGGGAAACACTGACAACAACTTGCTTGGCTTTCTCATCAGTACAGATCAACTGTCTTGTATTTTATATTCTCTTGGTATTCATATGAATAAACTAGATGTCTTCCTGTAGAGGGAGAGGGTGCTTTGGACTGCAAGACACTTGTTTCTTATCCAGTCTGGGCAGGTAACACTGCAGAATCTTTTCTGAGTGTTGGTCAAAAACCCCTGGTGCCTTTTCTCCCATTTTTTTCTTCAGTGAATCACTTTGCTTCATGACAAAGCAGCACTTCAGCCAGTCCCCAAGTGTCCCTTTACTGGTGGCAGAGCTGGAGCACCCAAGGCCAGAGCTGACTGTAGGGACTGAAATCCTCTCTTGCCCCCAAAAGCAAAGGGGAACACTTGTTCTGCTGCTGCCCAATGTCCTGCCAGCCCTAGAATCCCCCCTGTTAACCCTGGGCCCTGCCCCAGCCCTGCAGAGCACACCACAGCCCCTCAGGCTGGAAGGATGGCTGTTTGAGGGCACACACTGCTCTCTGTAACTCACATCAGGTGTAACACACAGGAAGAAATGAGAGTGGGACACTTAATGAGAAACACCACTGTCTGTAATTACAACTGTGAGCTCAACCAGAGCCAAAGGCTGTGAAGCCCCAGGACTGCCTGTAACTCAGCCATGGAAACGCCTGCTCAGGGTGAGTGCCCATCACTCTGGCTTGCCTCTGGGAAGCTCCTTCCCAAAAAAACCTGCTGAAGGGAGGCACTGCTTGCAGGCAGGGTGTCACAGCTCAGATCTGATGTCTTAACCTTCAAAAATATTTACTACAAACAAAACACTCCACACACCCACGGGGTCAAACTCCAGTAGTTGTGAACAATGCAACTCTGCACCCTCCTGTCTGGCTTCTCATCATGTTGCATTTAATGTTGATCTTTTGCCCAGAATTTAAATGAAGATGGAGTTTCTGTTTATGTCTTTAACTGAAGCCTGGTTTGGGTTCCATTAGCATTTCAGCTCCCGAGGGGTCATCAATCCAACTGAAATGATACATGTGCCTTTCAGGTCACATCTGTGAAGGAGAATGTGCCCTACTCAGATCAAGGCATCCCATTAAAGCCTGCAGCCCATATGTGTGTCTGCTAACGAGCACCAAGGCAGCACATGAAAGCAGCAGAGGCTGAGCCAGCTGGGTGTGAAAGCAGCAGAGGATCCTCTCTGCTGGCACAGGGGACAGTGGCTTCCCCCCATGTTGGGGGGCAGCCTCCCAAGGGGGTGTCTCTCCCTCCCAGAGCTCCTGCATGTCCCACCCATTAGAACTTCCAGGCACTTTGCTCAGCCATTGATGCCCCTGCACGTTCTCCACTGGTAACAGCTACAGCCAACAACACAACCCCAGTGTGTGAGCCAAAAGGAGCAGGGTTCAAACACCAGGATGCTCTCTGCTTTGCTCCTTCTCAGAGGTGGCCTGATCCAGTGCTAGCATTGAGCAGGAATCCTTTCAGCCTGGATTACAGGGTGCTCCATGCCAGGGAGCTGCTGCAGCTTTGCCCCCTGAGCTTCAGGCTTGTGCTGCTCCCAGACTCCTGCAGGGAGGTGATCCCTGATCCTCACAGACACGTGCACACCTCTGCCTCTAGTGCTTCCTCCCTGGGCCACCAAGCCCCAGGATGCTGTGAGGTGTGGAGGCTGCAGTGCTGAGTTCCCAGGAGGACCTCTGAGCTTCCCAGAAAGCTCCATTTCAGGTCGGTGCTGCTGACCAACAGCAGCCAGTCCTCTGACACCTGCACACTGTGGTGGGTGGAGCAGAGGGGAACAGCAGTGGGTCCCCCAACACCCTTATGGTGACTCCTGGTGGGCCACGTGAGCTGTGACAGTGCC